GCTCTGAACTGGGCTAGAACATGGCCTCTCTCTGCCCTTGCTAACTGGGAAAGACCACCCCAACTGTTTGCACAGGCAGTGTGTGTGACAGCCCCCTGAACGAAAGGCTGAAACCATTGGTCTACCCTGGATACAACCATCCGTTTCCCCTGGGGCCTGCAGACTGCTAGTTCCCACACAGCTTGACAGTCTCCCAACAGCACCCCCAGCCCCCCAGGTTCCTCCCACCAGCTCCGGAATCTAAATCTCCCCACCTCCTCCAGAACGGCTCTGGGAACGCCTCCAGGGTATCAACCTGGTCTTTGATCCAGAGCCAGTTGCACTGCTTCCCATAGGCATCTACATCCCCACGGTCCCAGCAGAGTGCAGCTGCAAAAGGAAATGCAACTCACTCTTCAGACAGCACTGGCTGGGGTGGTGGGGAGGGATTTACCTTCTTTCTGCACTATGCCACAATGGCCTTGGAAACTTTCAAATGTATTCCCTACCTCAGTGGCCCACGCACTTTACCATATGCGGCCTTTCCAAGAAGTCTTCATTTATACCCATCCCAGGATTCAGCATGACCCAGGACATGGGGCACCTGGCAGAATGATTTCCAACCTCTGTGATAAAAGGTGATCACTGCAGAGATGTATCACAGCAAAGCCAACACTCATGGACTCTCTGTCCATTGGTAGTGCCTGCTGGTACAGTCCAGAGTCTGTAATGCAGGATGAAAGGGAGGGGAGTGGGGAGAAGTAGGGGCAGATCCAGGGAGGTACACTGGTACAGCTGCACTCCCCCTTTGATTCCTGGTCTACCCCCAGTTTAAAACCAACTGCCTGGCAGTGGCAGCAGCATTTCTATTCTATTCTATTCTATTTAGTTCTGAGGGAGTCAATTGACTTCATAGCTCATTGTCATCTACATGATCCTTTCTAAATCCTTTTTCTACAGGTATTAATGACCCTTTCTTTTTTTGTAATGATCTTGATGTTCCACCGATCAAACTAATCTTTGTGCTGCCATTCTGCTGTCTGTTAGCTGCTCCTGGGAATTAAGCTCTTATTCACAGCCCTTCAGACTGTTTTGAATTCATTCCAATGAAGTTATTTGTTTTTGCTTCAATTAAACTCAATACTAGAGCTGTAGGCCCCTAGCAGATCAGTGAAGCTTCTAGTTTATTTTTAACTGAAAAAAAATGTGTTGTTTTATAGGTGATGATGAACCTCACCATCTGCACCCCCTTTTCAAAATTCTAGATCTGCCCATGGTGGGAAGGGGAGATGGATGAAGAGGAATAAAGCCAGCCAAATGGGATGCTAGAGGAGGGGGGAAGGTAAGAGTTGGAAAGAGCATCTGGAGTCAGTCCCTTTAAAACTTAGGTGATGGCTGGACACTAGGGCTGTGCGAAATTTCAGCAACCGTTTCAATTCGAAGGTGTTTCAGCCCGTTTTGCTGACTGAAACATTGAATCCGAAATGGAACGGAAAGCTTCGAAACATCTCCGAAACAAAACAAAACCATCCAAATCGTTTCGGAAATGTTTCGAAATGCTTTGGAGGCTCCCCCCGAGAATCGTCCGCCACAGCCCCGCAGACCTCCTCTTAAAGTGCCAGGAGGCTGGGGCGGGGTGGGGGAGGGGGCCGGGCAGGGCAGCCATGGGGGCTTCTCCCACAGCTACCCCCACCGGGGCGGAGCCAGGCGCACCCCGAGGAGCCGCGGGAGAAGCCCCCATGGCTGCCCTGCCTGTCCCCGTCCCCCGCCCCTTAAAAAAAGCCCTGCGCTCATCAGCCACAGCAGCGATTGGGGCCTCCTGTTACAGCTGGATATGGCCATTCTTAAGGCAAAGCAGGTCAGTACAGCATTCTCCTTTCACAGCACCTCACAGCAGGGCACAGGCCAGAAGTGCTGCCTGATGTGACCTCTCTGCAATCTCACTCCTATAACAAGAGTGCTAATGAAAAGAGAATGTAAAGAGACCAAGTGCTCAGTACATGTCAGTAACCTGACAGTGTCCCTACAAGCAAGTCCCTATGCCCAAGAGACTGCACGGGGCACAGGCAGACAATGACAGCATGCTTAGACACCCACAGACATAAGCTCAAGCCTCCCTAGTTACTTTTGGTACATTTCATTCATGATCTAGGTCAAGAAGCTCTGTTTCCATGTTGCAAAGAGGCCCTGTTTTCTGGGACTTCCACACCTTCAGAATGTGCCTAATAGATTTCCTTGTTCAAATTCAGAGAGAGAAACAAAGCAACAGAGAAAATCCTGAGTTGCCTTTACTGACTGCACTACAAACCTGTTCTGGCAACTGAATTTCTAAATATCTATGAAGCTAGTAAACGCACAACTGTCAGACAAAGGCTGGGTCTGGTAAGTGGTAGCATCTTAAAAATATCCAGGAGATGAAAGCTGCAAGACTCCAGCAATGATAAACTTTTGCACAATGGGACAGTACTATGAATGGAATCCCTAGCTGGCAAGTGGCATGGCTAGCAGGGGAAATGCCCGTTATCAACTATGGTGCTGTTCTCTTGAGAGCTGCCAAGCATGTCACAGCTAGATCTTGTTTCCAGCCTTAATCTGTGGCTGATCAAGTTCTAGAGCTCTTGCCAGAGGACTAGAGTGGTACCTAGGCAAGCAACCAAGAGCACTGCACAGAGTTTTCCTCCTCCACAGCATGGCATGGCACTCAGATAGTGAAGCCTGTTACCCAGATTACAGGTAATCTTGGGGGCACACTACTAACAATAGATAGAAACAGGTTTACAGCCCAACATTTTATTTGCTTGCACTTAAAACATACCTAATTGTTTATCCCAAAGTCTATCTAGCTTGGGAGGAGAGTGACACACAGATTGGCAGCAGGTCTTCTTGAATTTGGCGAGTTCTCTAAATTTCCCTCCAGTCTATATCCAGTACTTATACATGGCTGATTCTAATTCTAATAAATGATCTCCAATTCATTTTAATTTCTGATTGAAAGTTTCTTTGTTTTACTGAAACTTTTGGAACTGGACTAAACCAGATCTCTTATGGACTTGGAAGGTGTCATTTAGTTGGGATTTATATACTTGGGAAAGAAAGAGGGAGGATTTCTTATCTCCTTTCCTTCCCCACTGTCGAGTGCTGCTCAACACTAGTCTGTTTCTTCTTTACCTTAGTTTATGGTCTTCTTTGACAAGGCTGTTCTTGTTTTTACAAGTTATCTAAGCATCTTAACAAAAATGTATATATGATAGTAAGATAACATCTAATATATCTCCTTTCAGGCCTTATGCTTTGTTTAATTGTTTGATGGCTTCTTTCACTTTGCTGATCAAGTTAGTTGTCACGTCTGTAAAGGTTCAAACCACGGTCACACAGAAACAAGTTCAGGGGCCTTCCGCTTAGCCACAGTTCTGCAGCTTGTCCTAAGACCCTTGAAAATGGCCAAGGTTGGCAACAAGCCCTAAGTCAAGCTCTGCTCTCACAACTTTTGCCCACACAAACATTTGACCAGTCATGGCTGGGCAGCATGCAAGGTGAAAGAATGGGTGAAGCCCTCCCACCTCCCAACTACCTCTTCCCTCACCTGCAGAGATACTTGGGGAATTTCTCCTACAGATAAGCCAAGAAAGTAAACTCTTGCTGGAGATAAACTGTTCCCTTGGGGCAAAGGGACACTTTCTATATCATGCCTGTGGGGTTATGGCCACCGGGAAAGAGAATAACCCTCCACCAGGGAATTTCCCATCCCCAATCTCCATTTGCTTTTGAAAGCCTCTTGGAGAAGATCTACACTGTTCTTTAGGAACAGAATTTCAGATTTCAAACTGGCCTCCAGGACACGGGCCAACCTCTCAAAACTGCACAACAAGCAAGTTTATATAACCACAGGGAAACAATATCTACTGTTTACACACAGCTTTTCATCCTGAAGGATCCTGAAATGGTTTGTAAGCACATAAGAACCTATCACTGAAATGCAGCTGCCTCTTGGGTGCAACAGCACAGAGCATGGCTATATGGCAGTCAAGGACAGTTCACAAATACCACAGCCAACTGAAGCTGCAGGGGGAACTGGAGGAAGCAGGATAATTCCTGGTGATGGTATGTGAGTAGGGCCCCAGGGTAGCCAGCCCAACTGCTACAGAGAGCATCAGTTTCTTGTGGGTCTTTAGTGCCCACAAGCCATCAGGCCTTCAGTATTAAGTGATTTTCCAGGGGAGGCAAGAACAGTAAAAGTCACTGGAGTGGGCCTTCCCCCCAGTGTGGGGACTCAATGATTAAGCTCTAATTTAAGCTCCCTGAGGAATAGGGATGACAAGAATGGAAGACACCATGAGCTGCTTTTACTATATGCTCATGGGAGAGGCACCAGGGCTCTTTAGGAGCACAGTGAGCAATTTCAACCAGGAGCTGAAGACAGCTGGAGTACAGATAGCAACTGCTCTGCATATCCTGCTCTTGTGGATAAAGCCCATACTGTTGGAATTCCAGCCTCGTGATCCTGGGGAATGAACTTTGCAGGGAATGGCATGTGAGAAAGGAGAGAGGAGGGCACTTGTCACAAGAGGTGTTTGACCATCTTCCCACTGCCTTTCTGAACAATAAACTCCCAAAGCCTCTGCCATCACCTCTCATATGTCAGGGGCAGCCCTATCCCTAAAGCCATCCCAACAGGTTGGTGTCCAGTCCGGTACACTCTCTCTCTGTGGAGGTTACAGTGCCCTAGGAACATACTGCATAATCAGAGCAGGCTGCACTCAAGTTTTCCATGGAGTTACCTAGTACAGCCCACACCTGTTCAAGGCAGAACGTGGCAGTTTAAGCTCCAGCAGCAGATAAATCCAGCACAAGGAAGGAAATATATTTTTACACATTCTCATTCTGCAGAGGTTTAGTTGCACTCACCCACATGAGAAAGTTTAACACCTACCTGAATACATCTGCTCAGGAAAGGACATTCAGGATTTCTCCCTTGCTTGCCCTCCAGCTCACCCACCACAGGAAACGCCTGCCCTACTCACCTTACAGGAAGTGCCAAGGAGGGCACCATCTTGTTTCCAGGCCAAACTCTGGAGCTGGTCACCATGAGATTCCAGTTCTAGAGGAAGAACAAGGTGATAGACAACTAAGTGGGAACAGCTTTCAACCAGTTAAGGATGGATAGACAACTAAGTAGGAACAGCTTTCAATCAGTTATACGACTTCATTACAAACCACTTCAAAGTCCAGAAATTTATCGTATCTCAGCATTTCCCACAAATTAGTAAATTTTGCATCAAAACATGTACTAACTTGTTTTCCATCCAAACAGTTTAGTTTTCCAGAATGGAAAATATTGCTGGACTTGAAGGAAAAAGAATTCTCCAGATTGAGCTCAGATTTCACTTTCACTACAACAAATCCCAGCTTGCATACAAAACCAGAATATTTCTGAAGGTTTTCTAAACCAAACAACAATTCAAGCCAATTTGAACCAAGTTCCAAGAACACAAACATGTGAAAGTGCTCTGAAATTCAGCCATTCTGACTGCACGCCCTTGAGCTGGATTCATACTTTCTGAAGGACAAAGTTTCCATAGCTCATTGCCAATCCTCTGCAATGGGTCTTTTAATAAGGAATTCATAACATGCTTTTGGCTTTCTGGAACAGGATCACTGTTGGTCACAGGAAATCTGAGGAGGAATTCAGTACCAGGCTGAGGAGAAAGTCTGGCTATTCAGGCAAGGTGACAGGAGACAGGCCTAACAAACCTGGAAAGTGGAACAGAAACAAGTTGGTAGGCCCTCATACTGCCCACAGCAATGACGCCAGTGGCTTCCTCATCTACTGTTACTGGAGGCGTTTACGTGTGGCAACATTCTTAAAGGGAGTAACCCATAGGTAGGGCTGGTTCCTTGCGATGACAGTGGTGTGTACAGTGACCTGAAGGGAGGCTGCAGAGGTTTGGTTCAATTTTCTTTTTTGGCTCTCCCTGGAACCTTAAGCCTAAACATCCATCATAAGGCAGCTTAGAAGGAAGAGGAAGGGGGAAGCAATTTGTGCAGCACACTCGTGCTCAGACACTACCAGAAAAAACACATCTCATACCCAAGACAGTCTAGACCAGTGTTTCTCAACCTTTTCCACCAAGGCACACCTCCATAACTTTTATGAATTTAGCAGAACCCTGTCTGAGAACTGCTAAGCTAGAATCTAGCTGGTTCCAGATGAAGGCAGCAGGGACAGAAATTCACCCTGCTGCGCCCTGCTCTTTCCGCTGTCTGCCCCCACCCTCAGCCTGTACCTGAGGGGTCAAGCACAGCCCCAGTCATTGAGACTACCTCTCCGGAGCATCAGCACACCCCAGTCAAAATCTTCTGCCTGAGCTACAGCAAAGGGCAGGGACAGAATATTGTAATTTTGACTTCCCATGCCCTCCAGGACTGCCTATGACTAAAGTTTGGCAGCAACAAGGTCCTTCAGAAAAAGGCAAAACCCACAAACAAAGGAAGGGGCAAACTCCTGAAAAGTTGCTGATGCAGCAAACTGGCAGGAGTTTGTGCAGCTGAGAGGATATTTGCTTGTGCATTCAGGCAGGAGATGCCATGCTTAGCCCTCAAGACAACATCCCCCTGAGCCAGAATGACTCTGCCTACCTGTCAGGGACTGCTGCTGGGCCACGTCCCAGATCTTCACTGTCCTGCCAGCTCCGCTCGCCAGCACACCATCTGCAGTGGAATGGAACTGGAGCATGTCCACTTGGCACCCCTCAGGCCCCAGGATCACCCCCGCACAGGCAGGCAAGTCCTGGCCATTTTCAGACAGACACCACACTTTCACCTGCAGGCCAAGATGTACAAGAGTGATCCCTAAGAGCCTTTAGGAAACCCTCTGCCTACACCCTGGTCTCCCATCTCCATGCCATGAGCATGAAGTTGCATCTGCCACTGGCCCTAGGCTCACATGGAGCTCTCAGTGCTCAGGTGCAGCAGCCACATACCAAGCGCTCTCCTGCCACATTCAGTTGGTAGGTTGTGTCTTGCCATTCATTTCTTAGGCCTTTGTGCCCCCAGACAGAGCCACAGGTAGCTCAGCAGGGCCCCCATTTCAAGTGAATTGGGCTCAGGGCCCTCAGTGAACTTGGGGAGACCAAGCTAAGTGGCAGGTCAAGCTGTTTCCTCTGCTACATGTCCTTCCCTTCCCAACATGTGCACAAAGCTCACAGACATCCCACATCCTTCATGCTTGGGACAACCCGCCCTTCTGCCTTCCCCTGCTCCAGAGACTCCTTTGATGACCCCTCTGAACACCATGGCTTGAAGCTGGCAGCAGCTCACAATTCCCATCATCTGTCCCTTTGCTGTACTCCATGCAAACACTGGGCCTGCATCCATCTGAGCAACCCGAGTACATGTTAACTGCACGTCCCTCCAAAGCAGGGAGCCCATTTCATCTTCATGGCCCCTGGCATCCTTCTGCTCCAAACATCATGTCCAGACCACACTCTGCCTCTACCTTCACTCCAGACCTCAGCCTGAACTCCCCTCAGTGCCCCTCCTGAGTTACCTGTGAAGGCACTGACAATCCACATAAACAGACTCCCAGGAACCAGCTGGCAGTATCAAGAGCTAACCCCAGGACAAGGGGGGCAGGACAGCTCCTCTAGTCAAGTGACTCTACATGCAGTCCCCTCGGTTACGACTTCACTGTACACTCACCGTCTTATCAGCAGAGCCTGTCGCCAGTAACAGCTGGTCAAATGGAGAGAAGTCAAAGTCTGTCACCGTATCTGAAGGGAAGAGAAGTTTAATTCCTGGCTCCCTGAAAGGATGCACTTGCTGCAGCACAACTATCCCCTCACCCTGGCCTACCAGGGCCTTATCATCCACCCCCCAGCCCTATGCCTCAAGCTGTGCTTACACAAGCAAAGACACCCTGGGCGGTCCTCCAAAGGGTTACAGGTTCAGTTCCCACGAACAGCCAGAAGGTTGGACCCTGAGTAGAGCCACTTCAGGAGAAGAAAGATGCTGTCTGGCATTTCAACCAATTGCTAGCCCACTGCAGGGAGTTTCCCCAAGTACTGATCTGCCTATGGACAGGGGAGTGCTGTCTTTAGGTCTGACAGGGGACACTGAGCAGACATGCTGTCCACTCTGCTTCTCCCTGTGGATGGCTTAAAACCTTTTGGGGCAGGGCTGAAGTCAAATGCCTAGGATGCTGGTATAAAAAGCCCTTTGTAAAAAGTATTCAAATCCCTCATGGAAGGCTGAAAATTTGTCCAGACCCACTGCCCTAATAGTCACCAGGACAGACAAGACAACACTCTGAGTTTTTAAACATTGACCAGAGCTAACCCCTTCCCTCAACACATTTGAAGCCTCCTGTATCCACCATAAAGCAGTGAACAACAGGCATGAGTCCAATTTGTTTTCCCCACCGCAGCTCTCCTGTAAAGAAAGGCAATGGGATGTCTGGCTAATTGAGGGGAGCAATTAGAGAGAACATCTGCAGGGACTTGACAATGGCAGTAAATAAGGCTGAGCCAGCCAGCAGCCTGCCCAGACAGTAGTGGGCACAGCATGCAGAGAGGCATCTGTGTTGGTACATAATGCTGGGGTTTGAAGCCCTGCTTGGGTGAGCAATTCTGCTGGGAACAAAATCCCCTTTGTGATTCCCTGGCTCTGTTTGTCTGCAGATGAGGCGCTCCTTATAACTCTGTTGGCAGGGACCTGTGAGACAGAGGCTGGCACCATAACTAACAGCCCCTCTGATGCATCTGGCATGCTCAAGAAAGTAGGTCACTGCTTACTTCTCCATTCACACACAAGATCCAAGGCCGGAAGACATAAAAAAATAATCTGCATGCTGGAGGAAGTTATCTGCTGCATGTTTGCCCTGAAAAATCCTTCCCCAGTCCCAGCAAGCAGCCTGCTCTCAGACATGCCAGCAGACTTCACAGGGATTGCACTGACAGCCCAGGATGTGGCACATCTGCACTTGCTTTCTTCCCTAGCATATCACTTACCAGGATATTGGGTTACAAATGTCTCCTTTCTAGCCAGCCACTCATAGTCAGAAGCCCACTTCTTACAGCCAAACTACAGATGTGACAGCAAGCATGGATGAGCATAGGAGAGGATGGCTCCCTTCCAAGTCACCAGATCAAATCCAGATCAGGTCATTTGTCACTTAAGTTTGCTGCCAGCCAGTGGCTGTTGGGCAGTCTGTGAAATGAGGCTGGGCTGGGCGAGGTTGTCCCATTCTAAGCCTATAGGAGTCTGTCTCATAACCCTGCCCCTTATTAGCCCTCTCAGAAAAGCTGTCAAACCTCCCTGCTGTCTTTCAGCAGCACTGGGCCTTGCAGGTTAGGAGAGCCAGATCAAGACAGGGTGCCAGTACAGTGAAAAGCTGCACCTGGCCTGCACCCAGAGAAGAGTCAGGCTGCAGGGCTGCTGCAAGCAGCATGCACCTACAGCAACATCAGATGCATATGACCCAAGACCCTTTTATGAAAAAGCAGTTTGGGTCACTTCTATACAAGCACTGAGCTGGCATGCACAGCATTACAAGCTGAACGCCTGCTGCAGACAGCTCAAAAAAGAAAGGTGGGACAACCTGGGTTTTTAATGGGACTGAGGGGCCTTCAGACCCACAGTGGAAACGTAAGCCCACTGTCAAGAATGATCCATGACCACACACCAGTGGGACAAGGCAGGGACTATCTTCCATTTCCACCTCCTTCACAATGAAGAGAGATCCAGTAAGGAGATGCTGCCAACCTAGTTTTTGGTAAGAGATGTTTGTAGTAAACGGACCAAGATTTGGTGCTTTCGTTAAGAGAAGAACCTTTGCCAGCTGTAAGATCCTAAAGAGCCACATGTTGCTCCTAGGGGAGACCCAAAAAAGGGACACAAATCCATCCAGCCCCACTAAACTGGCAAAGAATGAGAGAGAAAACTAGTCCATTCCTGGAGAAAGTACAAAGTGACCTTCCCCCTGGATGGTGTGAAGGGTCACTAGGATCACAGGAAGGCATGGGGCTTGTTCAAACTGATGCTTTGATAATGATAATCCTCTTAGGAAAGCCTCTCAGACTAACTGGACAGACTCCAAGATTTACCCCTCCCAGGAAAGAGTCCAAACAGAATTTTAGGAAGCGAGAAGTAACTGCTGATTGAGGCAAGAGATGCACCTAACAACCAAGGGCAAGAAGCTTTGGTGGCACCTCTGGAAGCAGCATGTTTAACAAGAGACCAACATCATTTGTTCCTATGCCACCTAGCCTGGCAATCCTGAAGATGGACCTGGGCCACTGGCTTTGATTGCTTTTTAATTACAGATTGGGACTGTTGGCTCCTTTGCAGATGAAGCCCCATCTCCCCTGCTATGCGACTCAACTTTCTCAGCTTGGCATTTGCCACAGGGACATGGACAACTACAGAAGCCCTAAGCAACTGAACAAAAACCCTGCCAGCTGAAGCATGCTCATGCATACCACCACAAGCGAAGGCAAGACAAGAGGAAGGCACCAAGGGGCCCATGCCAAGGGTGTCGGGAGATGGGCCCTCCATCTCAGAAGGCACCAACACCTTTGCCAGGGTTATGATGCTGTTCCTGCCACATAGGAATGAGGCACCTTGAAGGGATGTAGGCAATACACTTAGCATGATGTGCACATTCCTCACCTTCCTCCTGACCCTGCACTACATAGCCAGAGCCCTGAATCCATCCCAGCCTGGATACAGTGAACACCAATGTTCACACATCCTGAACAGTCAATGCAGTGGACTTGCAGACCCCAGGTCCTTCCCAGGTGTACTACTGCGACTGCCTCCAATCTTCCCCACCAGCAACTGCCCTTTCCAAGCAATAGCTTGTTTAGTCACAAGACTAGTTAGATCATTCACTGTCCATGTTTCTCTCAAAACTCTGCTCCCTAAATGCTGTCACCACCCACCTGACATATTTCCTCTTGGATTTTCCCCTTGGCATCCAACAACCCCTCCTGACACACTAATTTATTTCTACACACATTCCCTTTCTGGCTGGTCTCTGCCATCTACACTTTTACTGTTTGCTAGCCCTACCTTGAGACAGCCTCTCTGTGCCATTCTATTTAATATAAGTCTAGAATGTTGTCCCCCCAGTAACTTTCCCCTTTCTTCAGTTCACCTTGCTAGAGTATGTTGTGTGGCTGGTGCTGTTGTAGCTGTTGTGCTTACAAAGAGCAATTTAATAAACACACAGTAAGGAAAGTAAAAGGGGCCTGTTAAAGAGACTTACCAGGAACAAGATGTGACCCATTACTCAAAGGACCACCAGAGTTACATGCCACAGTCCCACTGCAAGCTAGTGGGATGTGGTAGCTAGTCCCGTCAGATTCCTTAGCCAATGGGTCAACTTTTTTTAGACTCTAGGCACCCTTTAGAAAATGCTAGTTTTCTTCATTTTCACTTTTTGTGCAGAAAAATGACAGAGCAATTATTCTGTTGCAAAGAACTCAAAAAGAGCACATCAGGTCAGAATGGTTTTAATACTGTTGATTTATATTTGAAACCTCTGGCTTATCTTGTCAAACACAGTTACACATCTAACAGAGCTAACACTGGATGGCATCCCATGGCACCCTTGAAAGCCCCTGGTTGAGGATGCCATGCATTCAAAGGTTGACACACATTCAAAGTACCACATAGCTACTAATCCTCAAAAGAACCCAGCACAGCAGGAACCTGGAGGTGCTCTGACGGGTGACATACAAGAGTTAGCAGTGTCCTGCATCAACATGTGACCCTTTTGCCATGTTCCAAGCCGATTAGAGCATAGTTCCTTGCGGATGCTGAGAAGCCTGGAATTTAATACTGGATACTTGGATCCTGGAGTGAGATGTGTCATGAATACACCAAGCTAATAAGTTTGGGTGTGGTGAGTACCCAGCTCACCTGAATGGCAGCGCAGCTGAGACACAGCCCTCTTGCCTCCATCTTGGCAGTCCAGGGGTACGACACCCAACACACCTTGCAGGAGGAAACACAATATTAGGTTATAAGTTGCCTGCTGTCCAACCCAACAGAGCCAGCCCTAACTGGTCACGCCAGCTCCTATCAACTGGGACTGCCCTACACTACACACCACTAGTATTTGATACCTGGCCAGGCAGGAGGTTGGAAACTAAAATGTGCCTGATACCAAGTCAGTCAGGTGTTCCATTCTCCCATATAATCCAGGTTACAGGCCCACAGAATGGCCAAAGGCAATCTCATGTTTGCCTCAAAATGGCCAACATCTCCTACAAAGTCACAGGTAAAGCCTTGAGGATCCTGGGTAGGCATATGCATGGTCTCCACCGCTGAGGCTGAGCAAGGCATTGGCTAAATGTGTCACAACTGGCTAAGAGAAGCAAGGTGATCTGTCTGTTTTATACTGGTCATGTCTGAAGCAGACAGTTATCAGGAAGACCCAAGCAAATGCAGGTCACCTTGGTCCATTTAGAACAATTCAGCTATGTTCTTTTTTGGCCTGTTGTCCAGTAAAGACTGTTCAGCCCCTGCTCACTTCCAGGAAGACAGCTCAGGCCAGTCTCAATAGGTCCCAGGAGCTCAGCAATGCAGGCTGGGTCAGTGCCTGAATGGGGGAAGCTAGCAATGGAAGACCCAGAGCAAGGACATTAGAATGACACTTTGTGCATGGCTTGCATCCATGTGACTCTGTGCTGAGCCAATCCTCCACGTGTGTGGGACTGCAGAGGAGCCACCTTTCAGATGGGACTTAATGGAGGTCATGAACACTGAATATCTAATGATCTTATTGCCACCTGCAGGCTCCCTGCCTCCACTTTCACCGTTTGTCTGCTGCATTGTGTAATCAGCTTGGAAGATCCCATAGGCCTTTTAGACAGCATCTGGCATTCTTTAGTGCTCTAGCAAAAATACCCTGGGACATGTTAAGGGCTACAAAGCATGTCTGGTGAGAAAAGAGGGCTCCACCAGAGTGTAAAACAACTACCACCCCTGAGCTAGCTCTGAGACAGCTGCCTCAGTAAAACTCCCTGCCAGGAAATGTACAGCAGATAAAACCTGACTTCACCCAAACAGGAGCAGGTTTAAAGAATCAAGCCAAACCTTTTCTCTGACCCTGCAACAGCGTCACTCACCCTGGGACCGCTCTTTCACGAGGGCCTTTTCAGCTAAGGAATAGGGAATATTTACAAGTCAAATCTGGTGCAGCCTGTTAGCAAGAGGTGTGTGGGTGGAGTGAGACAGTGGTAGGAGCCCAGGCAACAACAAGCAGGAGTCTGGGCTGCATGAGAGTATCAGTAAGTATCCTACTGCCAGAACAAACCAGTGGATGCTAGCAGTCCTGCAAGTCTTCTGGCACAGGCCAGGACCCCTAAGTCGCCAGAGGGCAGCCTAAACCCACTGCCTTTTTAACCCCTTTGGCCTCCCCATAGGCCAGCCACGATACAAAATGAGTGGCTTCTGAGAAGCTCTTCAGGCATAAGATGCTCACATGTCTGATATGCACCTGTGTCAACAAGGTTAAGAGGCCTGTGATTCACTCCCAGGTCAGCCACAGACCTTCTCTGTGGCGTGGGGAAAATCACTTCATTCCTCAGGGCCTCAGACCCCCTCTAACATGGGAATGATCTCTCCCTTCTCTCACTCTTTACATCTCTGGTCTATTAAACTGGAATCTCTTCAGGACAGAAACTAACTGTGTGTGTACAGCACCTTGTACAACAGGTCACCAATCTCACTTGGTGGCCTAATGTCAGCTCCAGGGTCAGCATATCCACTGCCTGCACTGCACACGCACCCAAGGCAGCCTCCTCCAACAGCCTTACCTGCTGAATCAGCATTAAACGCTATCAAGCGGCAGCTGGCCTTGATCTGGTTCCCATAGGAGACAGTGGTGCCAGCTCGGATATCCCCAATCCAGGCCTAGAATCAAGAGAAAAAATCCCTATTAAAAGAAACTGATGCCTCTGGGACAGCCCCGACACACCGCACAGGAGCTTTGCACATGCTGGGGAGGGAGGGAGGAGAGGCACGGCTGCCAAGCCTGATCACAAGTGCAACAACCCTGAAGGGACAGTGTCTCCTTGTCCCACAACACACCAATGCTGGCACAGTTGCCCCTGCACTCCCCCATGTGCCACATACCAAAGCAGGGTTGGGCAGAAGGAGAGCTGGCAGGTCCTCTCAGCATTATACCTGCTCACCACGCTGCAGATCTTGAAACAGTAGCCAGCTCCAAAGGAACAGCTGCACCATCCAGTGCTCTCCTGCCCACACCCAGCCCAGCGGGGCTCTCAGGAGGCATGCCCAGGCATGCTATATGAGCACCCCAGATGCAAAGATGTTCTGGATGGGCACGTAGGGCTGCAAAGTGCTGGGAGCTCTCTAAATAATGCTCCTCCCAACCAGGGGAGTAAGGGGGGGGAACCAAGGCTGTGATTCCCCAGCACCCCCACCAGCCAGTCAGTTCCCAAGTACTGCTACCCACAAGAATCCTGTACCAATGGCTCCACCATGCATATGCCTTCTTCTCCAATGGCCCCTTTCCAGCTTGGAGCAGGGGAACCCCCACATCATCCAGGCCAGATCTGCCCATGTTATGCAGGGCTCTCAGCACTCTGCTTCTGGCTGACAACACACTGGCAAAGCCCTGCACATTAACCATGATGAACAGACAGTGCTCTTCACCAGGGCTACAGAAATAGATGTCAATGACGGGACCCCTGCAAAGCAAAACAGGCATCCTCCTCCCGTTCCATGTTAACAGATGAGGCAGGCAGCATCCCCTGAGGGTCACCGCTCAAAGCTGCCAATGTAGGAACAGAAGGGAATGGATAGTGCACGCTCACTTGAGTTGAAAGCCAAGGACTCGGAACTCTGCTACTAGCCCAGGGGTCAGGAATGTTTTTGAGCAGTGCCAAAAACACCCACAACCTTAACCTGCAACATGTTGGTGTGCCACAGGTGTGTGGCGGGGTAGCTGCGAGGGGCTCGATTCTTGTTGTGGCAGTGCAGACCCAACCACTTTCTAGCCGTCTGCCCCGAGGTGCATGTGCCAAACAAAATGCCTTCATGTGCCACACTCTGGCATGTGCGCTGGGGGTTGCCTACCCCTGTGCTAGCCCATTTTTCAGAGCCAGGGGCCTACAAGTTGCAATTAACTATAAGGCTCCTGGTATCACAAGACACAACAGGAGTCCGCTGCAGACTTACAGCTTTACATGATTAAAACAAACCCCTAATGTTTAACCAGTGATGCAGGATCTCCCCCATTCATGGGACTCATAAGAAAGGAACTGCTATGTTCTGCACTCCCTAGCCAGTCTGGAAGCATGGCCCCATGCACAGCACACAGCAGTCAAGCCTCACGCTGTGATCTTGGCTTACCATAGAAGGGCCTCATACCCATTAGGAAAAGGCACAACCCATGGCCAGGTGCAGACAGGCAGATGCAGTAACAGCAGCTTCTAATCAGGATACCTTGAATAAGCTTAGAACCAATAAGCCCCTCCCAAGGTTCTGGCCATCCTAGACAGACTTTGGACAAATGCCCACCCTCACCAGAGCTGGCAAAAGTTTATGCAAGCTCCTGTGGTTGCTCCCATTAACCCAGGGGTGTCAAATTTGCCCTGTGCCCAAGGCTCCCTGTGGGTTAGATTTGAATGCAGCAGTGGTGGCAGTAGCTGCAGGAGTTAAAGCAACCACCACTCACCCCCTGCTGCTGACATGTCCCCAGGGGAGCTCCAAGGCCCAGATTTCAGTGGTGGGCCCTGGCCCCAAAATGGCAGGCCCCTCTACCACCCCAGGGGCCACATGACATTGTTCTGTGAGCCAAATGTTTGACATCCCTGCCTTAGGCTAGTAATACTAAGCTGTATTAGGACCCACCCTCCAGCAGCTAGCTCTCTGAAACCTGAAGCCTGTTAGACACTGGGAATATCACTGCTACAAAGAGGAGATGGAACAGGACTGCTAAGATTATGAACTTCCACCCCACTCCCAGAAATCTTCTCAGCTCCCCCGATAGCATGCATGCCCCACCCAGGTTTGTATGATAGTGCAACACACCTGTCCACCCCAAACCTGTTCAGAGGCAGTAGTGGGGTCCACCCTTTCTAAGCAGGCTTCCCTTATTTTCAAGCACACAACCCCAAAAATGTGCAGCAAACACCCTTGAATGGTTTTCTCCACTTGCCACTGACTTCAATTCTCTTCTCCAATGAAAACAAAGGGCCTATGCTACGTTAACCTCCTTGAGGTGATCCAAAGAAAAAACAGGGAGATAGCAGACTTCAAAACAGAGCATCCCTGTCTTCCCTCAGCTCCTCTAGCCCCTTGTAGCTCCTCTTGAACATGGAAACAGAAAGCTTACATCATCATCATAGACCCCACAACCTCAGGTTTCAGCAAGGCAGGGACCCTCAGTAGAGGGGCAAGCAATAAGCATTTTAGCATGAAAGGCAAAGTACTACAAAGCTGACACTAAATATGAACACTACGGAGCAGGCAGCACCACGTTCAGAGCACTTCCGTCTCCACCCTCAGCACAGTTTCAGCCTGGTTTTAGGAGCCAAGAAGATCAATCCACCAGGAACCAGGAGTAACTATGTGAGTGATGGGCAGGGATCCTGGTTTTCTCTGATTTTAAAAAAAAAATCTCAATTTTTCTGATAAAAACCACAAAAGCCGTTATTAAAATTAAAAGCCCCCTGCAGCCTCCCCTAGCCCTGCTGGTGCCCTTCACTTGCCCCCAATGCCTCCCCCAGCCCTGCTGATGCCCTTCACTACCCCCACAACAGCCCCCTGCCCTACTCATGCATCTTGCCCCCACCCACAGTCCCTGTCCCCCAGACATGCTGGAGGGACCCCCAGCTGCCAGGGGGCTATGGGGCCAGGGACCCAAGTCTGCAGGTCCCTGCCCCCAACAGTAGGCAGCTGCAGCAGAAGCAGCATGAAGCAGCATGAAGCTGGCTCCCCCACTGCTGCTGCCTGCTTGGGCAGGGGCGGAGCCAGCTCCTGGCTCCCCCCAGCCATGACCCACAACCCTCCAGCCCTGCCAGAGGAGCCCCCAGCTCCCTGCAAGCCGCACTTACCTCCAGGAGCAAAGAGTGAAGCTGAGCTGAGCAGAGTTGTGGCTGACTGAGCACCTCAGGCCCTGCCCTTCCCCCCCCTTCCCCTGCAGCCAGGGCTGGGGGTTTCCCCACCCTGTTTGCAAACAGCTCTTGCAGGCTGGAGTTCAACCAGCCTGCAGAGCTGTTTGCAAAAGCAGGGAATCCATGGGTTTCTCTGCTAAAAAGAGAAATTCACATTTTCTCTGATAAAAAGAGGAAATCCATGGTTCTCTCTATTTTTTCTTGGGAAACGGAAAGCCAGGATCCCTGGTGATAGGACACCCTGCAGCCTTCATTCCCCAGCTTTGGTTTCCAGATCTAGCCGTTTAAGGTGGGAACTACTAACTTTAGTCAGAATGGAGCAGAGACTAAGCAGCACTATGGTAATCAGGAAGACTAATTAGAGCAGTCTGATCCCTCATGCCGAAGAGCCAAAAGCTGAGCCACAGTGGAAGAGACAAGATTTGTCATGGCACACCGGCATCTGCAAATCTTGACAGTCACAAGGCATGAGACCTTCAGGTTTTCCCTGCTGTCTTGGATAAGCAATGCTTTTGAAGCACTGGTGCAGGGTCTAACTTAGCAAGTCTTGAACACTTCTTAGGCATTTGCAGCATGGGCAGATTGAGATTGGAAAGCCTCAAGAAATCAAAGAGCAGCGTAAAACTACTAGCATATGGCAATTTATTGCTGTGCTGTAATTGAACTGGATATAGATACTGGGGGATGAGTTCCCTTTGTTCAGAACATTTCCTGCATGGACACAGTTCAGAGGAAAGGAACTTTATTAAGACAATCCTAAAACATGCAGTGGTTCATTTTCTATTCTTTTTATTGCTGGACAGCGTAGCTTGGTAGAGCATTTATAAGTACCATATCAGCCAGATACTAACCCTCAGGTGATGTAGACACATGCGTTTCTAGGCTGTCATCAGGATGCGAGGCCAGAAACTACTGGCATTCCAAGGGCTAAGTCCAGCTCTAAAGAACAGGTGACTAAACATTTTATGGCTGCCTCTGCAGAAGAACCCCTGTGCTCGGTGCCTGCTGGGAGCTGTATGCCTTGGCTTGAACAGATCCAGGGTTATGACGACTATCACTAGCAAGCAAAACAGATCTCTTTTTTTTCCCCGACTGACCTACTTTCCATCACTTTGGATTTCACTGATGGCAGGTACCTCAGGACCCAAGCATTTTGTCTATCTTGAAGGACACAGGCTTTATTAAAAGTACCTGCAAACAGGATAGATCTGTATGGCCTTCCTTCCTGCTTGTGGGACTATCACGGGGAAAATAAACCTACCCACACACACTCCCATGTACCGACGCACAGTACTTACATTCAGAAAAGCTCCTGACCTGGCTCTGGTGTGCCAGAGTAGGAGTGAACAGGAGGGGCTTACTTTCCTTCTCAGCAGTCCTATCCAGACACTACTGCAGGCACTCAGCACGTGTAAGGGAAAAACTGGGAACAGAATACAGACTGCTGCCTCCTGGTCACCAGAGCAGGATCTTTTTCTGTTGTCACTGAAGATATTGGGGCAGCAGCCTCTGAAACCAACACTGCAAGCCCACATCTTTTTTATTTTATACCACTGGGGTGGAAAAACCATTCTCTTCCACTTTAAGAATTGTGCTCATGCACACCTAGGCTGTAGATCCCAACAGGCAGAAGAAGGTTTGCAGCTCAAATTGCCTTTTTAGCTCCATTACAATATTTCTAGTCAAATTAAAATATTGAACAAACAGGTTTAAATTCAGAGGCTTCACCATAAGCACATGCCCCTGGGATTAAAGCTGCAAGGAGGGAGTGCACTAGACTAGGAGGCAGCCAATTGACAAGGAAAGGGGAAGAGACAGAGAGAAGGAAGGAGCCTAGGCCCACACAAGAGTCACATGGTAATTTGTGCCATGCCATCCTAGACAGAGGCAGGCAGATTCAGTCATCCTCAATATAAAGCAAGCTCCATTCAAATGCTAGCCCTCATCTTTGAGCTGCAACAACTACTACTGAGCAAGAACTGATCCAATTTTGATCCAGAGTGAGTAAACACCTGACTCCAATAACTGGATGGGGCTGGCTGGTCCCCTTGCACCCCATTCCTTAACAGGAAAAGCCACCTGGTCTCAAACAGTTAGCTGAGGCAGAGCCCTCCATTTTGAGCCCAGGCAGGAAGATGCTTACTGCCTGGATGCTGCTGCAGGCAGCAAGCTCTCAGGGAGACTAAATAAAACAGACTGCACCTCAAACAAGATTTAAGCAACCCCTCTGACAGCAGGAAGCCACTGAGGCTAACCCAGGAGACCTTTATTGGGCAGTTGGTGAATCACAGGCCAAGGGAACCAATTTCATTTTCACTCAAAGGAGACCACCCAGCAGGGTGGGGCCCAAAGAAAGGACATCC